TGTGTGGTGTACACAGACGATCTGGTAATATTTAGCCACACATGGAAGAAACATTTGGAGTATCTATTGGAATTGTTCAATCAACTTCAGAAAGCAGGCTTAGTGATAAACTTGGCTACCAGTGATTTCTCAAAAGCCCGTCACGTTTCTAGGCCACATCACTGGACATAGACAAATGGCATCACAGGATGTGAAAACAAAGGTTGTTGGGGAATTTCCCATACAATTGATGAAGAGGGAAATACTACAATTCTTGAGACAGTTTTTTTTTTAAAATCGAAAATTCGTACCAAATTTTAGTCGAGCGGTTGCTCCACTGTCTGACTTGTTGAAGAAGTGCAGAACATCTCAGTGGATGGAGGAATGGCAGAAGGCATTTGACAGCCTGAGAGCTGTGATAAGCACCGCAAGAAGATGATGAGAAGATAGAAAAACCCATTGGATATTTTTCCAAAATGTTGAATATTCATCAAAGAAATATTCCACAATTGAGGACACCTTGAGTTTGGTGCTGGCATTGCAAAATTTCAACATTTACGTTGCCAGTAATGTGTCTCTGATAAAAACCCCTTAGTGATTTTGGAAAAATTTAAAGATAAAAGTACCAGACTGTTTAGATGGATTTGTTGTTACAACCATTTAATTTGAAAATTATACACGTGGCAGAATGAGAGAATGTAATTGCTGGCGCGTTGTCACAACTGTGAAGGAAGATGAAGGTGTTCAGTGGTGGAAGAAACAGATTGAAATAGACCGTAGTATTGAATGTTTGCATGATTAAAGTAAATACAAAGTGTATGTATTTTAATGTACCAATAGTGCAAGGCTAAAGGTTTTTAAAAATGAAGCCACCTTTGTATATTGGTTTTTTTTTTTAAAAAGAGGGGACATGTGATGACACTTTGGCTTTAAGAAATATACTTTGTCCTGGTTTTTCTTTTATGAAGAGAAGTTGAGACAGAGGCGATGAGCGTCTATTCCAAACCAATAAGGAAAACAGCTTGTGAGGCCTTGGGTATTTTTTTAAAATGTTGGAACAATAAAAGCAGCATGAACGGGTGGAATCAGGCTCCCACAGAATCAGGATTTTAGTTTAGCATTGAGTAGTTGTAGGGGTTTTGAAGCTGCAATACATCTCTCCCTTCTACAGCAAAATGCTGAGTTTTCTCTCTCTCTGCCAGAATTTTCTCTTGATGTTCTATCTTCCTGGACTGGAGAAACATTACATGTGAGACAATGTATTTTACTGGACTGGCCTTTGCCAAGGGTATGTTTATGATGTCACTATATTGGAACAGTTGCTGTTTAGTAGTTAAATAATTTATTATCAAGTTAAGTTTTCCAACAGAGTTAAAGTTAGACCAATTCTTCTTTCTTTTGTTTGTATTTTAACTGTAAAGGATAAAGTGTGTTTTGCTTAAAGTATTGTAGTGTAACCAATCAAATTACATTGGAACACAGCTTGCCTTACGCTTGCCTTTAAATAAAAAAAAGTTAAGGTCTGGGCTATCTCCTTGATATATTTGAAGGGGGTTTGGTCTGGTCCATAACAACAGACTTTGGCCCATTGCAAGTTTGTGAGATACACAATGAACTGATCAGGACATCCATTACCTTGCAGGATAGAGATAGTAGGAACTGCAGATGCTGGAGAATCTGAGATAAGGTGTAGAGCTGGATGAACATAGCAGGCCAAGGAGCATCAGAGGAGCAGGAAAGCTGACGTTTTGGGCCTAGACCCTTCTTCAGAAATGGGGGAAGGGAAGGGGGTTCTGAAATAAATAGGGAGAGGGGGGAGGCGGATAGAAGATGGATAGAGAAGATAGGTGCAGAGGAGACAGACAGGTCAAAGAGGCAGGGATGGAGCTAGTAAAGGTGAGTGGAGGTGGGGAGTTAGGGAGGGGATAGGTCAGTCCAGGGAGGACGGACAGGTCATGGGGGCGGGATGAGGCTGGTAGGTAGGAGATGGGGGTGGGGCTTGAGGTGGGAGGAAGGACAGGTTAGGGAGGCGGGGACAAGCTGGGCTGGTTTTGGGATGCGGTAGGAGGAGGGGAGATTTTGAAGCTTGTGAAGTCCACATTGATACCATTGGGCTGCAGGGTTCCCAAGCGGAATATGAGGTGCTGTTCCTGCAACCTTCGGGTGGCATCATTGTGGCACTGCAGGAGGCCCAAGATGGACATGTCGTCTGAGGAATGGGAGGGGGAGTTGAAATGGTTCACGACTGGGAGGTGCAGTTGTTTAGTGCGAACCGAGCGTAGGTGTTCTGCAAAGCGGTCCCCAAGCCTCCGCTTGGTTTCCCCAATGTAGAGGAGGCCCAACGGGAACAGCGGATACAGTATACCACATTAGCAGGTGTGCAGGTGAACATCTGCTTGATGTGGAAAGTCTTCTTGGGGCCTGGGATGGGGGGGGTGTGCAGTGCAGGGGCAGGTGTAGCACTTCCTGCGGTTGCACTTCCGGGTGTAGTGGGGCTGGAGGGGAGTGTGGAGCTGACAAGGGAGTCCCGGAGAGAGTGGTCCCTCCAGAAAGCAGATAAGGGTGGGGAGGGAAAAATGTCTTTGGTGGTGGGGTCGGATTGCAGATGGTGGAAGTGTCAGAGGATGATGCATTGGATCCAGAGGTTGGTGGGGTGGTACACGAGGACGAGGGGGATTCTGTTTTGTTTGTTGTTGTGGGGAGGGGATGTGAGGGATGAGTTGCGGGAAATGCAGGAGACATGGTCGAGACACTGGGGCGGGGGAGGGGCGGGGGGGGGACGTTGCGGTCCTTGAAAAACGAAGACATTGGAGATGTTCAGGAGTGGAATGCCTCATCCTGGGAGCAGATGTAGCAGAGGCGAAGGAATTGGGAATAAGGGATGGCATTTTTGCAGGAAGCTGGGTGGGAGGAGGTGTATTCTAGGTAGCTGTGGGAGTCAGTGGGCTTGAAATGGATATCGGTTTCCAGGTGGTTGCCAGAGATGGAAACAGAGAGGTCCAGGAAGGGAGAGAGAGGTATCAGAGATGGTCCAGGTGAACTTAAGGTTGGGGTGGAAGGTGTTGGTGAAGTGGATGAACTGTTCGAGCTCCTCGTGGGAGCACGAGGCGCCGCCGATACAGTCATCAATATAATGGAGGAAGAGGTGGGGTTTAGGGCCAGTGTCTTGCAGGATAGCTCTGATGCATTCTACCCTATTTGTGCATCAAGCTTGCAAAATGAACAAATGGATGGGCTTGATAAGTTTGCTGATGAGGCCATCTTACATCATGCTGTGCTACATAAATCCCAAAGTATTGACCAGTGAAATACAGAGTTGTGGGAGACACATTGGAGAACCCATTAACAAATCTCTCTTCTACTCTTTTAAATTTATACTTTATCCCAGTTCCTAATGTGGATTAAATATTGTTCTTTTTCTGTAAAAGCTTTACATGTTACAGTTTGTTCCAATATTTCCACCGTGGATCTTTCAATGGCAAGTCACATAAGGGCATTGTATTTCTTTAAGGTTCAAAGCCTGAGGTGCAAAATGCAAAGCAGATTTAAGATGCATAGTAGAAGCATAGTAAAAGTTTACATCAAGGTGGAAAACATATAAAAAAAAGAGGGAGCTAGTCCAGAGCATAGTACGTTAGATTATACATTACTACCCAGCTGTCCGGTGGATTTAGCAGGCCATGTCATTTTACAAACAGAATGAATAACTCTGACATATGTAGGACAAAGGATCGCCATTAGTATTGAGTACTGATGTTTGAGGGGCCAGCAACTTCCTTTGAACAGAAGAAAGCATGCTCACCTGAACTTCTCCAACAATATCTGGCACCATCTCTACACTTGGGTTTAGGGGCGCTTACACAGCAGCTTTATCAAACTGGTTTTGTTTGGGGAACACTGACAACATCTTTTAAAATTTCATAGGACTCTTAAGTTATTGCAACTTTGTGTTGTTATATCATTATAATCCCAGATGATGGTAGTGCTGGAAATGTCAGATTCCAGAGTAAAACCTGGCACGATAGGCTGTAAGTTTCACTTTTGCAATTAATCCCCTTGATGGCTTGTAACGGAACATGTTCACAATATTTTTATCAAAAGAATACAAATTTATTATACAAAATGAAAATAAAAATCGTCAGCAAAAAGGACAATTCAACTATTTTCCTCAGCAATATCCTTTCCTGATACTCAAAGCTTAAGTATCATTCCTATTTTGAGTCTAATTTCTTATTTGACCTACTCTTTCCAGTTTTGATTGCTAAGAATTCTTTTCTGCTCTGATGGACTAAACCTCTTTTCAGTTCTGACAGTTTGAAAACTTGTACAAAACTTTCAACATGTAAACATCTCAAACGAACGCCCTCTTGCTAGAGTGAATCTGGTTCTGAACTGAACTCTGAACTCTGGTTCTGAACTGAACTCTGAACTCTGGTTCTGAACTGAACTCAAAACCAATTGGCCCCTGATCTGTTGTCTTTGGATATCATTAAAGGTTCCACTTTGTAAACGCTTCATCAATTAACATCACAGGAACACAGCTAGGCACTTGACTGAAGTCACTTGCTTTCTTGGAAACTGTATTTGCTTCAATGTTCAAAATGACATTCTGACCTCCACAAAAACCTACAAGAACTGAAACTTAATTCTGTTATCTCTACTTAAAAACTTCAAATTCCCAAATACATTATACACAGTATGTATTTCCTACAGTATAAATAGAAAGCAACAGGCTTAGTAAGCCTCAGAACTAAGCAAAATAAAAGTGAAGAAAACAATGCAAAGAATTGATATTAGTCACAATGAAAAATCTGCGGACAAAAAAGTGTTTCAACAAAACAAAGCTTTAACACTGATTATTGTGACAATAACATCAATAGGACATCAATAAGCCCCACTTCCCCCAATCTTCTTAAAACATGTAAAGTCTTACAAGACAAATTAAAAAAAAACCTATATAAATTGATTAAAATGATAGCTTTTGGAAAGATTTCACAACAAATTCATGTTGCCATACATACCAAAACTGTTTTTGTCCTCTCGGAAAGGAGCGTAATATGCAGCCTGGATGGTGGCTTTTGGTGTGATTTTTCCAACCACTTCAATGACTCCACTCAACTCCTCATCAAGCTACAAAACAGCATTAAAAATAGTTAAAATAGACTTTGCATTTGTTCATATACAGGAGAATCAGAAACTTTATAATACAGGTGGTGGTCTTTGGCCATTGTGTCTGTGTCAAACTAGAAGTGTGATCCAGCCCAATTCCACTTTGCAGCACTTGGTTCATCATCCATAGGTTTCAACAGTTCAAATATATATACAAGTATTCTTTAAATACAATGAGGATATCTTCCTCTACAATCCTTCCAAGAATTGACCTCCAGACCCCTATAAACTTCTGGTGAAATAAAGGTACACAGTGCTCCGCAATGCACCAGTGTTACTGGAAGTGAATGTTCAAAGTGGTGGTTGGGGTGCCAGTCAATCAGACTCCTTTGCCTTGGATGTTACTGCAGCAACACTCAGCCAGGCAAGCAGTGAGTATTCCATTACATTCCTGAATTGTGCCTTGCATATAGTGGGCAGACTTAGGGTAGTCATGAGGGAAGTTACTAACTGCACAATTCCCAACCTCGGTGTTTTTGTAGCTTATCCAATTTTCTCTTGGAAATCTGAATCCAGCATGTTGATGGTATGGAAGTTGATGTTGTAAGGCTGTTGAATGCCAAGGGGGACAATTTTATTCTCTCTTGTTGAAAATTGTCACTGCCTGACATGATTACTTGCCACTTATCAACACAGGCTGATTTACATCCTGATTCAGTTGTCTGCGAGCTCAGACTGCTTCAGTACAGCAAGTCCCCACTGAAAGTTGACTCACTCAATATTGTTTTGTTTTAATGTTGTTGAGCAAGTAGTACAGATATATTCATTTAATGTTTTGCTTTAATGTCTTTGCCATTGCAAGCAGCAATACATAGAAGATATTTTCCCATGTTTCTTTCCAGATCTCAGTCCTGAAATCCCTCACTCCTACCACTCCAAAGCCAAAGCTCCCTGCAATTTGTTTTTGCTGCTGGGTAGTCCTCTGAGGCCCACGTGTAGCATCAAGTTCTGGAAACACCGGCAAACTGATCAGCAAGCATGGAGCCTCCCAGTGGTTGTGCAGGTTAGAGAGAATGTTGCTCCACTCCAGTTCACACCCTCCATTCTTAAAGTTCCTCATGTCCATTGCAACCAGGGACTTCAGCTGCTCCTTCCTGTGACGATACAATGGCTTGAAGAGGTATATTCTGTCCATTTTTTAAATGAAGAAAGGTTGAGACAAAGGTAATTGGCGATCTGATCAAGTCTAGTAAAGTAAATAGCTTGTGAGGCCTTGCGTTTTATTTTAAAAGTTAGAACAACAGAAGCAGCTTGAATGAGTGGGGTCAAACGCCCACAGAACCAGGATTTTTAGTTTTAGCTTTCTGCAATTGCTGGGATCTTGAAGGTGGATGTGGAAGCTCTTATTTCTCTCTCTGTTATAGCTAAAAGCTAGGGTTCTCTTCCTGTTACCAGAATTGCATGTGAGACAATCTATTTTACTGACTTTGTCTTTACCAAAGGTGTGTTTATGGGATGTTACTGTATTGGAACATTAGTAATAGTTAATATATATTATTGTTTTGTTAAACATCTAGATAGAGTTATAGTTAAGGCAATTCTTTTATTTTTATTTTGTCTGAATTTTTACACTACAGTTAAAATAAAGTGTGTTTTGCTTAAAGTCAAGTAGTTTGACAAATCAAATTGTGTTCAGTATGCAACACCTTACATTTACCTTTAAAATAAGAAAATGTTAGGGTCTAGGCTATCTCCTTAATATATTTTGAGAGGGTTTGGATTGGTCCATAATATCTTGCTCTGGCCTGGCTCCAACCCCATTCGCAGCCCAACTCCTGAGCCTGCCCTTACCCTCTTGTTTTTTTGTCACCTTTGTCCTGGATCTATTCTTCAGCTGCTCTCGTGCTCTGCACTGAAGTCCTCAACTCCATCTAATGGCAGCGGTTGGTTGACTCAGGTAGTTCTGACAAGCTGATTACCCGCAATGACCAATGTCTGACATTAGATGGAGCCCAATAAATCGGAAAAGCTTTTTAAAAAACAAAATATGGCTGTTTATTTTATATTTAGTGATTAGTTTAATTTGGCAAGTTACTTCAGCTATAAATACACACATATGGTACAATATTTCAAACTGTGCATGTTTCCGGGAAAACAAAATGTTCACAAGGACCTAACTTTGACTTTAAAGTGATTCCTATGAGAAGTAATGCTTCAATTAATGTAGTTTCGCTTGGAAACTTGTGATTTTTAAAAATGAAACAATAGCTTTAAATGACGACTACCTGTACATGGGAACTTGTTCATTTTAATTTGCATTGTGGAATCTTCAGCAAGCCTATCCACTTCTGATTGAATGAAGTAAGGTCTTTTGTGAAGCAGCTGAAGGTTTTTGGGTCTTGGATATCACACTAAGGAACTGGGGGCTTTTGTGGTGAAGTGGTAGTGTCCATCCCACTGATCCAGGAAACCCGGGTTCACATCCCACCTGCACTGGAGGTGTTAAACACCATCTCTGAACAGGTTGATCAGAAAATATCTATCCTGTGGCTTTTCAATGTGGTGGTAGTGTTCCTGCCTCAGAATTAAAAGGCTAAGGCTCAGGTTCAGGTCCCACTTGCTCCAGAGGTGCATCGTAACATCTCTGAAAAGGTCAATTAAAAATATCTATCCCAAGGTACTCCTGCAACAATATATACTGGGTCTATAATGACTGACCCCAAACAACTACACTTCTTCCTTGGGCTTCAGTTTTACTAGGGCTCCTTGATGCTGCATGATGTCAAGGACAGTTGGTTTCACCTTGTCTCTTGAAGCTATATCTTTTGGATAAATGCTTTCGTGAGATATGGAATTCCTTTGGACATCAGTAAACAGGTTTTTGCATTGCACGTTTCTCTCATGGCCTCACTGCTGATGAAACCTTCTGTCGCCAAGAATGGACTAATGATCGGCCAGATTGTATTTATTCTTTTGTGACCAAGAGGTACAATTTTTCATATTGTTGGATTGATGCCACTGTTGTAGCTCTACTGGATCAATTTGAACAACAGGGATATTATATGGCTTACAGCCTTTGCTGTATCCACTGTGTTCAACCGTTTCTTAGTATAAGATGGAATTAACCAAATTGACTGAAAATTCATGTACCTAGCTGGGGACACCAGGAAGAGTCTAAGACTGATGACCCATTTTTCACTTTTGGTTGAAGATGGCTGCAAACAGTTGAGACTTGTATTTAGCTTACATGTTGATATTTGCTAGCATTGGATCATTTTAGTTGTGGAACCTGCTCCTTCTGTTAGTTGTTTAATTGAGTCATGAATGGTGGTGAACAATGCTGCAGGACTGCAAGCATTGACCTCATCCATTGGATATGCCCCATTTACTCCAGTTATCGATGTTTTTACTAAGAAAAATAATGCTCACAGTTATGGAAAAAATCATCTGCAACTTCCGATTTCTGCACATTGCCTTAAAACATTGAAATCAAGAACTTGCTGTCCAATTTGACCCTGCTTCTCCAGAAGCTACACTATCCAGGTAGCTCTTTCCTTTATTCATTCACGGGATGAGAACGTCACCGGCTAGGCAGCACTTATTGTCCATCCCTAATTGCCCAGAGGGCAGTTAACAGTCAACCACATTGCTGTGGGTCTAGAAACACATGTAGGCCAGACCAGGTAAGGATGGCAGTTTCTTTCCCTAAAAGGCATTAGTGAACCAGATGGGTTTTTCCGACAATCTACAATGGATTCACGGTCATCATTAGATTTTTAATTCCAGATATTTTTATTGAATTCAAATTCCAGCATTTGCCATGGTGGGATTTGAACCAGGGTTCCCAGAACACTATCTGTGTCTCTGGATTAATAGTCTAGCAATAATACCACCATGCCATCACCTCCCCTTTGACAGAAGGATGTAAAGTTGTAATAGTTACCCACTGGATAGACACTTTTTTTTTTAAGAAGTGTGCTAAGTCTTAATTACTGCCAAAAAAATCACTGAAAATTTACTTGTACAAGCCTGAATTCTTATTCCTTCAAATTTTAAATTACTGTTGGAAGTTCTATTTTAATTTTTAAAAAGTTTTTCTTTCTACCTCACTCTTGTCAATCCCATCTTGTTTTCCATTGTCTTAATTTGCCACCTGTTCTGCATATATCAGTTTCTTCGATGTGATTGACTGAAGGGCCTCACTCTTGCATTCTCCATTCACACAGGTCACTAATTCTCTATTGAGCGATCCCTAATTAATGTTATATTGCCTTGCAAACACTCATCTAAACTCCGACAGCAGCTGTAATTTCAAACAATAATTTGCTGCTGACTGCAAAATTCAGGTCATTATGTTTGGGTAACTGTTCTCAGATCATGTGAAGAATTATTGAGCATAGAAATTATCTCTGTCAAAGACTAAGTGAAGACCTGAATGTGTCACTGGTTTGTGAAAGTTTTCTGAGAATAGAATAATCCACGTCTAAATTGTGTACTGCAGTATTGTGAAAACTTAATTCTATTGCTCACAAATACACATATGCAGCAAAGATTTAAAGTACAGGTGCATGTCTACAACTATGTTTTGGATTAATCATTTTTTTCTGCAGCAGTTAATTTAACTCTTTGGTTTACTATCCTTCTCATGTTCAGTTCAATAATGCATCAATTGCAAATATACAAGATTGTCGAGCAACTTTACAGTTTCTTTCTCCACCTTCCTTCTGTACTGTTAGGATCTATAACTCCTAGCAGCAGCACCAAAATGTTTGTAGCACTCTGATGTAAATGCCCATAGTGGAGAAATATAGAAGGGAAGTGTCGTAGAACAAACTTTTGTTTTCCTATCTCCCTAATGGTGGCCTGATCTACTGTTCTGTTCCATTTGCCCTTCTACATTTTGCAACAGCATAAAATCCATAAATTTTCCACCTCTCTTCAGTTCCAAAGATGTCAGACTTGTTGAGTTTCTCCAGGACTTCTGTTGTTAAGTATTTTACTTATTTATCAGTGTTGCAATAAAACTAACTGATGGGAACTGTTGCAAAATTTTTAAAAACTTTTTTTTCATTATAACAATACAAAAGCAAAACAATGAAGATGCCCAACATCTGAGATTAAATGCTGAAGAAACTCAGGTCTGGCAACATCTTTGGACAATGCACATTGTCAGAATTAAAGACAGAACTTTACTTGCATTTGGTAATATATCAACAGTACAGGGCTGTCAAAGAGAGCCCAGATAACAAGGTGTAGAGCTGGATGAACACAGCAGGCCAAGCAGCATCAGAGGACCAGGAAGGCTGACATTTTGGGTCTGGACCCTTCTTCAGAAATGTTTGAAATCTTCTGAAGAAGGGTC